CCAGCTGCAGGGGATCTGATGCCCTCTTCCATTCTCTGCTGATACTTGCACTCGTGTGCACATACCCACAGTGCCCTAGTTTCTTTCTACTTCTGTGACAAAACGGTAACCAAAACCAACTTGAAGAAGATAGAATTTATTTTATCTTACCTCTCCCAGGTCACAGTTCATCACTGAAGGAAGTCAGGGCAGGAGCACAGATCATGGATGGAGGTAGACTGCTTACTGGTTTACTCCCCTAACCTGTGGTCAGTCTGCTTTCTTATATGACACAGGACCACCTGCCTAGGGGTGGTATCACCCACAGTGGGCTGGGCCCTCCCACATCACACAACAATCAAGAAAACGCCCCACAGACATGGTCACGGGCCAATTTAATTAAAGAAATTCCTCATGCGAGATTCCCTCCACCCAGGTGTTTCAAGTCTACAATTGAAGCTATCCAGCATGTACACATAGACACACACGCATACATGTAATTAAAAACGAATCACATATATATGTGTGTGTGTGTGTGTCTATCTTCCCCTTATAGCTTGAAGGTCTAAGATGCCCTCATAATACAACAGGAGAAACATTAGGCATTAGACATGTTTCAGTTTTCAAACTATTCTGAAATTGGCAAGGAATATATAAAAGCAGTTAGCAGAGTTTTTATTTCATTTTATTTATTATTGTTTTATTTTATATGTATGTGTGTATTGCCTGCATGTAGGTAAGTGCACCTGTGTCATGCAATGCCCGCGGAGGTCAGAAAAAGCTGTTGGATCCCTTGGAACTGGAGTTACGAACAGTTGTTAGCTGCCATGTGGGTGCTGGGATTCGAATCCAGGTCTTCTGCAAGAACAACTGGTGTTCTTAACTGCTGAGCCATCTCTCCAGCCCCAGCAGTTAGCAGATTTTAACATCACTAAAACTATGTAAAATAAGTTCTCTTTGGAAATGTCCACTCGTTTTCATTTTCTTGATCCATATATTTTACTTAGGAAGAACCGAGGTAAGAAAAAAATTAAACAATGTTAGGTATAAACAAGATGCTCAGAGTTCCTTTATTGCTTGTGTCAGATGACTGATAAGATTAGGTAAGTGAGAAACTATAAAAAGACAAAACAAGGCACACCTTAACCAAAGATTGAAATTTATTGAAAGTAAAATAAGACTTACTAGCTTTTTCTCACTACAATTCAATTTGAAAATAAAAAGTTCATGAATGTCTAGATTTTATGATTAAAGCAATACAAAAGTGAAATACCATCACTGAGAGAGAAATTATATCACTGATTTTTGCTGCTAGAAAAATAACTACCTAACTCAACTTGATTTCAGGAAAAAGTGTGCTGTCTGTATCAATATGTGCATATATATGTGCACAGATCTTTATACACAAATATATGAATACCTAGCACAGGAAATAATGTTTGTATTTTACACATTGTCTTAAAGCAGGTAAAAATTGTATGGATGAGAATAACCTTTCTTACATAACAAAGCTACAACAGTCATTTCAAAGTCTAGTCACTCTAGGAAAAAGTACTAGCTTGAAGTAAGAAATGTTCAATGCTAACTTATGATTTGGCCAGACCTCCATTTAAAACAACCCAAGAATGTGGCTGGAGAGATGGCTCAGCAGTTAAGAGCACTGACTGCTCTTGCAGAGGACCTGGGTTCAATTCCCAGCACCCGCATGGCAACTACAAACCATCCTTAACTCCAGTTCCAGAGGAATCTGATGCCGTCTTCTTCTGATCTCTGCAGCATTGCATGACACGGTTGCACTCACATACATTCAGGCAATACACTCATACACATAAAATAAAAATAATAAAAAATGATAATAATAAAAGTTCTTAAAAAACCAAGAATGTAGTGCTCTAATTTCAAGACAGACATTATTAAGCCAATATATTTAACAAATACTCACTGTGTGTCCAACTTTCTGCATACATATGATATAATTTAGATAATTTGGTGAAAGAACTTAGTATTTACTTCATTGATTTCACACTTTATCACAAACATTAGTGAGAGCATAGGAATTCCAACACAAAAATAATAGCATTCACTTGAAGAAATCATAAAAATCATGCACACATTCTTTTTCTAGGATCTTCATTTATTTGTTATTTGGGCAGAATTTATGCTTCAAGCGCGTTTTGAAAAACTAGGCTTATAGAAGTTATCAAAATACCTTCATGGAATTTTCATTTTCTTTGGAAGAGTCAATTCAGCAACAGCATCTACAGTATCTCAGCTAAGCACTAAGAAGAAAAAGGTACAGAGAGTATGGTGTAATGTTGGGTGTTAGAACCAGCACCACAGAGGGGCAGCTCTGACCAGAGAAGGAAGCACAGGGCAGGAGCCCAAGCAAGAGCATTCTAGGAAAAGAAATGAAAAGGTGGCCACTTCTTGAGAACACATGTGTGCCATGCTTGAGTAACTCTGAAGAAAGCAGAATAGATGGAACAAAAAATGGAGGGCAAGGTAAACCTCAGAAAGGGTCAAGGGCTGTGCACAATACTGTAAGAATTTGGCATTAATGTGGAGGACATAAGTAGCCACTGTAATGTCTTATGGAGTATGTGAACAACTCCCAGTTTAAAAGAATTATTCCAGCCATTGTGCTACGTAAAACCATGGCTATCTAGCTGGAACATTGTATGGTGTCATGGCTAAAGATACATATGTTTCCAGGATAGTTTAAGTATGTACTCCTAATGAGTTAAATTTACTTTCAAAAATGTTGGGAAATGCTGGATATCATAGTGTTCACCTTTAATTTCAGTACTCAGGAGGCAGAGGCAGGCAAATCTCTGTGATATCAAGGCCAGCCTGGTTTCCATTGTGAGTTCCTGGCCAGCTGGAGCTACAGTGAGACTTTGTCTCACAAAGACAAAAAAAAATACTGTTAAGAAAAGCATTTAAATATTCTACAAGTTGTTGTAAATTTCTCATGAGTTTGAACATCAATTAAAATACTTTAATGCTATTTCATGCTTGAGGCAGCTCAGTGTTTAATAATACAAGATTCTGTGTCATTAGGGTGATTTGGGAAAAACTGGGGAAAAAATCTTAACTGATGTGCCCCAAGAATTTATAAGAGTGACTTATGCTAATGCAGAGAAACTGAGAAATGAACATGTTGAGTATAGATAGACATTAAAATGTTTTGAGTAACAAGCCACTTTAATTGCTCAATTTTAACAATATATTTTATTTATATATTTATTTTTATTTTTTGGTCTTTTTGAGACAGGGTCTCCCTGTAGCCTCAGTTGGCCTGGAACTCATTATGTAGATAGGCTGGCCTCGAACTCACAGAGATCTTCCTGTCTCTGCCTTCCAAGTGCTGGGACTAAAGGCATGCACCACCACACTCGGCCAACAGTGTATTAAAACCATACAAATATATCTATATAATCCTGAAAATCTAAAAATACGGTAAGAACTAGGCATGTGGTTCAGCAGTGGAGCACTTTATTAAAGTGAGGTCTAGTTCAACCCCCAACACTGAAAAGAAGTTAGGGTAAAATATAAGGACCAGGTTTATTCTTCCCACTTGTTTATTAATTCTGGGTAAGTTATTGAAGGCTTTGGTTTCTTCATCTATTTGACAGGAGCACAATATAATGCTGGCACAATCTATGTAACAGAACTTCAGCATGTAGATAATGAAATCTGAAGTCATTCTGATTAAAGTAATCAGCACTATGCATTCTGATCGACATTTCATGCTTCTTTTGTGAATAAAAATATGATACAACTATGTGTATATTAGGTAACATAACTTATTGTGGCTAATTTGGAACTTTTTAATCTTTATTTGAATTTTTCAATCATATGTATATGTGTATGTCTGAGTATGGGTAAAAGTGCCTTCAGAGTCCAGAAGAGGGTGTTGGAATCCCCTAGAACTGGAATTACCAGCAATTGTAAGCTGCCTCATGTGGGTGCTTAGAATTAAACTTGGGTCTTCTGCAAGAACAGAACACAATCTTAATGGCTAAGTCATTTCTCAAATCCCTGATTTAAAACTTTTAAAACTAAAATTTATGTTCCGTTTTACAAAGATTTTATGTCAGGCTAGTATAAAATCTAGAACACCTTGAGCGAGAGAGAGCCTCTTATTGGGTTTCAGCACCATGGACAGATGACATTAGCTTGGAGGGAATTGGTAACTTAGAATACCAAGAAAACTGTAGTGCTTGTTCCTTCCCAATAAAAGTGCTATTGTGGAAGGACAGAAGAAGGCGCCTACCTTTTTATTTCAAATGTTTTAAATGATGCAGGGCTTTCATAACTGACTGTAGAAAATTAAATAATTAAACAAATACATATTGAACAAATCATACACACAGTAAAACTTTAGTTTTATAAATGTTATTATTTAATAAATGGGAAAAGTTAATTTTGCCCCTGTATCTCTAATGAGACCCAACTTCACACTACAGTACAGCACAATTACAAGATTTCATTCATATTGAATGCACAGCTTGAAATGGTTCATGCAACTTGAGTTGATTAAAGATTAAGTTTGTTAGTCATTGCATTGTTCTGTGTAAGAGCACTTTCCTTCAGCAATAATAATACCAACACAGCACAGAACATATATAGTAAGAAAATACATTTCTCCACAAAGAGAAGCCCAGGAATGACAAGTTTAATAACTACATTTATTTTATAATCGTAGTTTTAGTAATACTATAAAAACTTACATACATTTAAACATAATAAAAATCAACTTAAACTCCAAAACAGAATTGCAAACTTTCAAAATTCATACTATAATGCCTTTAAAATGTTTAATTTGTAGCTAATTGAGATAGTTGATTTCAAAAACACTGGAATTACAGACTACAAATCATTTTATCAAATGTGTTAAATGCTGCATTGCCAAAGACCTTCAATTACAAAGATTCCACTTCTGACCAGGAGATGGAGCTGTCACGCAAGAGGCTGCCTTATATTTATTTATTTATTTATTTTAATTTAGCATGCTGTTTTCTAACAGACAGTGGGTACCACCGAGTGAGTGTCAGAACGGAAAGCTAAGGCGGAAGCAGAGGGGATGCAGTCATCGCCTTTCTTGTTTTTCCTTCTTTAGTGATGATAGTGGACATGTGAGGTTTTACTTTCTGCTCTAGGCTGAATTCTAAAGACCTGCTTTCAAGACTGCTATATTCAACACACACATGGATTCTGTGCTATGATTACAGTTCCCTTTATTTCAGGTAAGCAAGCATGATTCTATTTTTGTCCTATGGGTGAATCATTATCTATGTCAAATGGTGGCATTTAAAATAAAATGTGCTCTGTAATCTGGTATTCAGACATAAAAGGTTCAAATGTTCTAATTCTGGCTGTTCTACATTTGAAAATCATCCTAGGCTAAAATGATCTGGCTGTACCATATTGTATTTTAATGTTTCTTTGGCTTCCTAGACTTTCATACCTAAGGCTGTATTTATTTACCTTTTAAAACTAAAGCTTTTAGAGTAAGGGATGAGCCTTCCTCTCACAAGGGAAATGCTGCTGCTTAATGCGTTGAACAAATTGTAGAGATGTAATGAAGCAGATTAACATGGCAGTAGCTCAGCCAAAGCCCACGGCTGAGCCTCCAGATACCAACCTCAGAGGCACGCCAGCATTCTGAGCCCTAGGCCTTTTGAACAACTCCTCCTGCTATGACATTGGGGATTCTTTATGCTTTTGTTTTAACCTTTTAGAATGATATATAAGTCACTTGCCTCTCATGAATGAAGATTGATATAATGTGTTTAATAGACTTTGACTGATACCATTGAACCTCCCCCTCCCCCCAGTATGAGAATAGTGAACAAATTAATTGCTGAGAAAATGGGTTTTCCTTGTTTGTGATAATAGGACAGTGGGCATTTAGAATAGTTCATATTGTAGAGAGTGTTCATGTTTTAGATGATTTTAGGTCATGTGATATTAGCTTTGCTAAAGAGTGGGATGACTCAGGAGGTGGAAATGGCATGCAACAGCCTTCTTTCTTTCTCTTGTTTCTCATGATTTCTTTTTTAAATTTCCTTTTTGTGATTATCAGAATAATCAGAAGAAATGTAGAAACATCCCATTTAAAAAACCATTGGTTAACATTTAAATCAGTTTTAATGAATTTTTAATACATAAAATATTTTTCATAACATTGATAACTGCTTCACTTCCTCTTTTGGAAAGAGGTGAGAGAGAGAGAGACAGTGAGAGAGAGGGAGGGAGGTGACAGGCAGTGGGGGGTGCATTCAGGATGTTTCTATCTCAGTCATCGTTATCCTATAAAGAGATAGTTGTGCTATGTCAGAGGTTGTGAAAGCTATGGAGAATGATTTTCTGGAGTGCTTAGGAATATTGAGAGAAATAGTCTGCTATTTCACCATATAGTATCTATAATGAGTTTTCAGGTCCACACAGAACAATATATAGGACGACTTTGAAAAATCACAGATTTTTTTTTAGCATATATTCATCTTCTCATTTAGAGAAAAGCAGCAGTGGATGAGAGGTTGAGTGGATTATTACATCTAGAGTTCAAGGCAAATTAAAATCAGGTAAGAGCAGGCCTGATTGGCAGGGTTCATTGTGTTCTACAGCACTTACCTCCACTGTGAACATATCCAAGTGGCATATGCCAGGTATGCTGATATTGACTCTGTGTGTCGGGAGGAGGGGGTGACATGGTAAATTTTATAAAACAGTTTCAGTTTACAGTTGCTCAATGGATGATCATATACAGAGCTAGATTTTTACAAGGTTCTTGCCAAAACATCCAAGAAAACAATTGAATTGATCAATCATTGAGACTGCTGCTTGATGTTGTCTTTTCATTTTTATTTAGGTGTGCTGTCTACTTCATGCTTGTAAATGACATGGATAGCCACAGATGAGCTTACTGTTCTACTTCTTCTATTCAATAGAGTAGACTGTACATAAACTAATCTATCTATACTTAGAAGACCACTGTCGTAAACCCTGCCTTTCCTTATTTTTCTTAAATATCTGTGAAGTACTATATCTCTATCAAGAACTCTTAATGGAAGAGATTAAAAGTAATTACAAAGTTTACCTTAAAGAGTAACATGAAAATAGACATGCATAGGAACTATCATTGTTCCAAATACTGTAAATATCAAAGTGGGGCATGAAGTGAGAAAGTAAGTGGGGGCGGAATATGCCATTCTGTCTTGTGTCAGCCAATGTGTAACATGTTGGGATTAGAATGTATGACCTTGGGGGCCTCACAGCTCATGAAAATAGATGCAAGGGAGATTTAAGAAAGAAATCAGATCTTTAAGAGTGTGTTGAAATTAAATTAGTAAGAACAGAAATGTGTCCGTTTTAGGTGTAGAGGTGAGGTAAGCAAATAGAAGCAAACAAAGCTATGGAGAGTGATCAGTATTCTAATCTGACTGCAGCATTTTGTTTGCTTATCTTACTTTGTTTTGTTGCTATTTCCTTTGGGGCCACAAAAGCTAAGGATGACAAATTTGGTTTACAGTGTTAAGTATTCAATATAGTCTCACACATACTATCCCAAAGAGCGAAAACTTATGTTTAGATATTAGATTAGATGCTAAGACTGAACTTTAAGACTCTGCATGAAGCTATAGGTATTGGTTAGGTCTTGCATAAATGAAAATCAACGGGACATAATCTTCAGGCTTAGAGAGTACAGGAAACCTAGAAAGGATGCTAGTTAATTATAGAACATAAAGGGGGTGGTTGGAAGAATAGCAATGTGACAGGTAAACTGAATTTTAAAACAAGATTCAGCAACAGTGGAAAAACCCATAAAGGAACTAATTATCAACGGAATAGGGTAGACCTGATGGACTTGGCTCTTATTAGTAAGTCTTGTATGGACTTTAAGAGATTTAGTAAATTGAGAGAGACCTGGGGCTCTGACTGAAGACAAATTGAGAAATGAATCTATTGGGAGGTCTATTTAAATAAAGCTTATCAGTCACAGTTAAGAAATGATGTTCTCCAACTTGTGTAGGAAGATACTGAAGAGAAATATTGTTTCAGTTAGGATCTGAGAAACTTAAAATCCACAAGAAAGTGGAGAGGAGTAGGAAGGAAGGGACAACTATCATAGGCCTAGAAGAGACAGGGCAAGACAGGTTCTATGCCTATTTAAGATATGAGACCTGAAGAGGTGGATGATAATACAGAAAAATGCTGGTATATCTCACTCTGTGCAGCTCGTTCTTGGAAGTTAAATCCTTGTCTGTAACAGAGAATGCACCTTCTCTTTAAATCCACTGTTTCCTCAGAAAAGACTATTTGTGGCATATGGACTTCCTGGAAGAAATCATTAATCCTCAGTAGCAAAACATTTTCCTGCAGAGCAGTTAATCACATTAATCCTTGAATTCGAGGTTAACAATACAGCTTCAAGTTACCCTTATTCATATTTCAGTTTCTGTTACTCTTAAAACAGGTGCCACTTAAACCTTTCATTAGGTTAAATCAATTCATCTATTACACAGAACTAGTTTGATTAAGACTAGCTAACTAGCTTCTGAAGTAATTATTCAAGTTCCTTCTTTAACTCTCATTTCATTGCTACTTTGATCAGGATGTAGGTAGAAAGAAAAGGAAGTTGGGAAATTTGCATATTTCATTTACTAGTAATCTCTGTTATGAAGTCCTATCTTAGCATCTTAGTTCTTTCTGCTGACAAGAACAGAATCCCATGTGCTCTTCCAGAGAGCTGCTAGTCTCTTTGATGTCACATGTCATGGAAGGGCAATGTGATACCTCAAAGATGTTGGTGAAGAAGTCCATCCTTCACATTGGCGCTGCTTTCTCAGATCAGAAAAACTTTGTTCAGTTTAGACTTGGTCAGATAGAGATATGACATTGGATTTCAGAGGTCAGTGTCTTCTGCCGAGTGGTGAGTCTGAGCGGTCAGAGTGAAGAGGGTAGAAGATGGCAAGTAGGGAGCATGTGAACACTGATGGCTTTTCTTCCCTCGGGTTTGACCCTGAGTATCAAAGTACAGGTAGATGTTCCACAACACCCAAGTGTCCTCTGCTTCCCTCTTGCCTTCCTTCCCTGAGGGCTACCTGGATAGCCTCATAACCACCTCATTCAACTTCTAAGTCTTGTAAGTCAGAGTATCTTTAGCTCCAATACCTGGTTCATAAAATAAGGAATTCAGATTGTATGTGTGGTTTAAACAATTTTGTTATTAATAAATTTAAGTTTTACAGATAAGAACAGACTTACAATCCCATAATTTTCAGAATTTTGATATGCCTGTCATTTTAGAAGAACATTATGGGCAGTTTGATGCATGGATGAGACAGCTTGCTGTTTGAAATGGAAAGGCTAACTCAAATTTCATTCCACTAACCTCTGTTGTACAGAGGTACAGTGCCTGGCATTGGGGGCTCTGAGGGGAATGTTAATTCTGCATCACACCTAATCCATCGTCTCACAACTAGGAGCACTTCCAAAAGGACTACTTATTTGGTTTAACTGTTATTGATCTTTGAAAACATCAATTTTATAAATGTATAACTTTAAAACAGGCCTTAGAAACACATAGCAAGTCTCAGAATAATAGTCTTCAGCTTTCTGCTCAAAGCATGCTTACTTGAAGCTCCACATTAAGGCAGTCCAAAATTTCTATTGAAATTCTTCCATTACAAAGGTCCCGGGGCCTTCTAGACCAACTAGAGACTATGTTCATGTTTTGCTAACTGGAGAAAAAGCCTGCTTCTTTTCCTGATGCCATTGCTTTGTGTCATAAATTATTAATAAATTTTATTTACTGTGCTTTAAACACCAGCAATGGTTACAGATGAATTTATTTCAAAATAAAAGCAATTTTGTAAAAGCTACAAGTGACCCAAATACAGACCTTGCATTTTAAAATGCTGTAGATATAGAATTTTCCAACAGCTACTTCTCATGTCTGTTATGTCTAGAATATAAGATTATATTATATTTTCCAAGTTTTTAATGTAATGAAAATACAATTTATGGCAAAACAATTTGCTGATCTTGGCCAAAGGTCTTGCTTAGGATTAAAAAAATGAAAATCACGGGCCAGACATGGTGGTACAAGCCTTTAATCCCAGCATTCAGGAGGCAGAGACAAGCAGATCTGTGAGTTCAAGGCCAGCCTGGTCTACATAGTGAGTTCCAGGTCAGCTGGGCCTACAGAGAGACCCTGTCTCAAAAAGACAAAAAATAAATT